AAACAGCAGTGGCCCCAAAACAGATCCTTGAGGTACACCACTAGTAACTGAACTCCAGGATGAACATTTCCCATCAACCACCACCCTCTGTCTTCTTAGAGCTAGCCAATTTCTGATCCAAACTGCTAAATCACCCTCAATCCCATGCCTCTGTATTTTCTGCAATAGCCTACCATGGGGAACCTTATCAAACGCTTTACTGAAATCCAAATACACCACATCAACCGCCTTACCCTCATCCACCTGTTTGGTCACCTTCTCAAAGAACTCAATAAGGTTTGTGAGACACGACCTACCCTTCACAAAACCGTGTTGACTATCCCTAATCAAATTATTCCTTTCTAGATGATTATAAATCCTATCTCTTATAATCCTTTCCAACACTTTACCCACAACCGAAGTAAGGCTCACTGGTCTATAATTACCAGGGTTGTCGCTACTCCCCTTCTGCACCAAGGGGACAACATTTGCTAGTCTCCAGTCTTCTGGCACTATTCCTGAAGACAATGACGACATAAAGATCAAAGCCAAAGGCTCTGCAATCTCCTCTCTGGCTTCCCAGAGAATCCTAGGATAAATCCCATCCAGCCCAGGGGACTTATCTATTTTCACACCTTCCAGAATTGCTAACACCTCCTCCTTATGAAACTCAATCCCATCTAGTCTAATAGACTGTATCTCAGTATTCTCCTCGACTACATTGTCTTTTTCCTGTGTGAATACTGACGAAAAATATTCATTTAGCACCTCTCCTATCTCTTCGAACGCCACGCACAACTTCCCACTACTGTCCTCGACCGGCCCCAATCTTACTCTAGTCATTCTTTTATTCCTGACATACCTATAGAAAGCTTTCGGGTTTTCCTTGATCCTACCTGCTAAAGACTTCTCATGTCCCCTCCTGGCTCTTCTTAGCTCTCTCTTTAGGTCCTTCCTGGCTAACTTGTAACTCTCAAGCGCCCTAACTGAGCCTTCATGCCTCATCTCCACATAAGCCTCCTTCTTCCTCTTGACAAGAAATTCAACTTCTTTAGTAAACCATGGTTCCCTCGCTCGACCACTTCCTCCCTGCCTGACAGGTACATACTTCTCAAGGACACGCAGTAGCTGTTCCTTGAACAAGCTCCACATTTCAATTGTGCCCAGCCCCTGCAGTTTCCTTCTCCATCCTATGCATCCTAAATCTTGCCTCATCGCCTCATAATTGCCTTTCCCCCAGCTATAACTCTTGCCCTGCGTTATATACCGATCCCTTTCCATCGCTAAAGTAAACGTAACCGAATTGTGGTCACTATCACCAAAGTGCTCACCTACCTCCAAATCTAACACCTGGCCATGTTCATTACCCAGTACCAAATCCAATATGGCCTCGCCTCTTGTTGGCCTATCTACATACTGTGTCAGGAAACCCTCCTGCACACATTGGACAAAAACTGACCCATCTGAAGTACTCGAACTATAGTGTTTCCAGTCAATATTTGGAAAGTTAAAGTTCCCCGTAACAAGTACCCTGTTACTTTCGCTCCTATCCAGAATCATCTTTGCAATCTTTTCCTCTACATCTCTGGAACTTTTCGGAGGCCTATAGAAAACTCCCAACAGGGTGACCTCTCCTTTCCTGGTTCTAACCTCAGCCCATACTACCTCAGTAGACGAGTTGTCATCAAATGTCCTTTCTGCCACCGTAATACTGTCCTTGACTAACAATGCCACACCTCCCCCTCTTTTACCACCTTCCCTGATCTTACTGAAACATCTAAACCCCGGAACCTGCAACAACCATTCCTGTCCCTGCTCTATCCATGTCTCCGAAATGGCCACAACATCGAAGTCCCAGGTACCAACCTATGCTGCAAGTTCACCCACCTTATTCCGGATGCTCCTGGCATTGAAGTAGACACACTTCAAACCACCTTCCTGCCTGCCGGTACACTCCTGCGACCTTGAAACCTTATTTATGACCTCACTCCTCTTAACCTCCTGTACACGAGCTACAATTCAGGTTCCCACCCCCCTGTTGAATTAGTTTAAACCCTCCCGAAGAGCATAAGCAAATTTCCCCCCCAGGATATTGGTACCCCTCTGGTTCAGGTGTAGACCATCCCATTTGTAGAGGTCCCACCTACCCCAGAATGAGCCCCAATTATCCAGGTATCTGAATCCCTCCCTCCTGCACCATCCCTGTAGCCACGTGTTCAACTGCTCTCTCTCCCTATTCCTCGCCTTGCTAGCACGTGGCATGGGTAACAAACCAGAGATAACAACTGTTTGTTCTAGCTCAGCTTCCACCCTAGCTCCTTGAATTTCTGCCTTACGTCCCCATCCCTTTTCCTACCTATGTCGTTGGTGCCTATGTGGACCACGACTTGGGGCTGCTCCCCCTCCCCCTTAAGGATCCCGAAAACACGATCCGAGACATCCGGGATGGGTCTCTTTCTGGTTGGAAAGCTGCAAATGGTGGTGTGGTGTGCTGTAGGGTTCAATTCTTGGACCCCAAATATTTACAACCTATATTAATTACTGGGATGCAGGCATAGAAGGTACAGTAGCCAAATTTGTAGATGACACTAAAATAGGATGGAAAGTAAGTTGCAATGATGAAGTAAGAAATTTACAAGTTGATATGGATAGGTTAGGTGAATGGGCTAAAATCTGGCAGATTAAGTTTTACCTGGATAAGTGTGAGATTATCCATTTTCTTTGGAAGAATAAAAGGTTAGCCTGTTATCTAGAATAACAGGTCGTCTTTTAGAATAAGAGGTAGCAGACTTAAGATAGATTCACATCCTCATCTCTATGGAATTGATGACCCCAGAATGCAGTGGATGCAGACATTGAGGAAATTTAAGGAGGAGATAGACACTCATTTTTAATGAGTAATGGGTTGAAGGGTTGAGACTGGGCAGGAAAGTGGAGTTGCAATCAGCTGTGATCGTATTAAATGTTGGAGCGGGCTCTCAAGGCCAAAATGCCTGCTTCTGCTTCTAGTTCTAGTTCTTTTCATGATCCTGTTAATTTTTATCAGTGAGTTAACATGGTATTTAGTCACTGAAACATGTTCTCTTGAGGCTGTAGATGTTCACCATGTGACAGAATATAAGTTTATTGCACAGAAGATGTAAATAAGCTATATATTGAACCCAAATTTTCACAGATAACAATGTGTAGAGCTGGATGAACACAGCAGGAAAGCTGACATTTCAGGTCTGGACCCTTCAGAAGAAGAAATTTCAGTTGTTTTCCAATCTGATGCAGAGACTCAATCCCACAGAAATATCATTCCTATCTCAGCTTTCCAGTTTCTTTTTTTTTCTTTTTTTGAATTGCAGAGACAACTTTACAACTCATTGAGTTGGCATGGCCCTCTAATGGTTCTGATGGCCTAAGTAGTGTTGCAACAGCACTTCAAAATCACTTCACTGTAACATGCTTTTAGATGCCATGAAGTTGTGAAATAATGAAATATAAATGCAGACTTCAGTTTTTAAGGGCATTATGCTTCCTGTTAGCTGGAAATTATAGACCCATTGATGGAGAAAATAGAAGGTTGTGAGGTATTGCTGGTAATGTCCTTGTCTCTGTCAGAAGCTCTGGATTCAAGTCACAGCTTAGGACTTGACAGCCATGGGGTTTTGTTCATAATCTGGTCAAACAATTTATAATCCACCTGTAAATCCTTCCAATACACCTGCAGTAAGTGTTAAGAGTGAAAGAATCTCTAGATAGGCCATGTTTGGTGTCCCACAAGCTGCAGCTTCTGGTGACAAGCTGGTGACCTGTTCTTAGCAATGGATTTGGACACAAGCACTTGCTGTAGTTGTCTCATACACCACTCGATGTGGAAGGAAACTGAGGAAGATGGTGTAGAAAGGATCCCTGCCCACGATGATATTGACTAATATATTGTACACAGGACTCTGATTGTGGGATCCTGAGTATTTCTATTGACAGGAATATAGCATTCTGACAAACCAGGTAGTTGAGGCTATGCTGAAAATTGCTGTGGGTCTTCCTCTTCTGATCTACTGTCCAATACGTTCAAGGATTCACATCCCACACTAATGCTGAGAGTCTGAAAGCCTCCAAGGATGAAGAATGCGATTCCCACGCTAGAAATCTGTCATATTTACCAGGGGAACTGAGACAGCAGCTGCAATAAGTGAGGTTTTATTCAGCTGGGACACTGACAAGTTTAAATCTCCACCTGATCTGCTGCTCAAAGTTACCTCACTTCATCAGTCAGTTTGCCAAGCTTCGGGAAACTCATTCAGAGAAAGTAGGAACTGCCGATGCTGGAGTCTGAGAATAACCAGCTGTAGAGCTGGCTCCACACAGCAGGCCAGGCAGCATCGGAGGAGCAGCGCAGCTGACTTTTCAGGGCTGGACCCTTTTTCTGAAGAAGGGTCCAGACCCGAAACGTCAGCTTTCCTGCACCTCTGATGCTGCCTGGCCTGCTGTGTTC